CTCTCTCCCCGCTGTCCCCTGGCAGAGCGCCGCAGCCCCGCCGCCGGGATCACGTTCCCTCCAGCGTTCATTTCTGATTAAAAATGACTATTTTTTTTTAAATGGGCTTAATTCTTTCTTTCTGTCCTCTCCCAGGGCCAGAAAGAGGCAGAAAGCGACACCGAGAATCCATTCCAAACGAGCAGCCAAGGGGAGCTGCGGCAGCTCCCAGATGTTGATGTTTTGTTTTTTGACATAAATCTTTGCACTCATATGGGAGTTTTCATTGATTCATGTTCCCATCTGCTGAATTTCCTTTTATTTATTTAATATGGCTTTTTGGGGAAATCTTGCTCCGAAGCTCTGGAGGAGCATAAACTGTGCAACCGCCGCACACCCTCCTCCCCGCTCCCCACCCCGGCTGCTGGGGGAAGGGAGTCAGCGGCGCGCTGCAGAGGAGGCTGCTCCGAGTCCCCGAGTCCCTGCAAGGGGCGGGCGCGGGCAGGCGCCTAGCACCCTCTGCTTGGGGCCAGCCCGAGGCTGTAAACCCGAGAAGAAACAGCATGAGCCTAGTCACATCGCGTCTCTGTTCCTTTCTTGTCCTGCCCACTCACACCCTGCATTTCCTTCACCCTGAAACACACCCACCCTGGTTTAACAGTTTAGAAACCCGGAAACACCTAACACCGGCTGTGGGCATTAAACATGTTAGAGATCTCCTCTTCCCCGAACTCATCCCCCAGGCCCCACCCCACCCGTGAATCCTGATAATGAAGAGCTTCACGTAGATCCCTCCCATACCATCACTGTCCTATAAGGCACTGAGGACATGAAGATAATCAGATGGTATGGGAGGGCACTTCTGTAGATCCCTATGCAGAAGAGCTTCAACTGCAGAGTCAGAAGGCCTTCGTGGGAATCCTGACTACTTCCTCCAGTGCATTCTCTAGCAAGTTAACTTCTAGGAGCCTCAGATTCCCCGTCTGTAAAATGGAGATAATTATTATTTCTTTCTCAGATGCAGGCACGTATCACCCATGAGGACAGTGAGACTGAGTAGTTACCAGATTTGCCCAACTAAGAGCCAGGACACACTCCTAGGTCTTTTCTGATCCTTATCCTATTTCCACCCCCACCTCTTGTCCAGCTGCTCCTCCAGGTTTCCCAGGATATGCCATCTGCTGGCAGAAAGAAGGAGCTGCCCTCTTTTCCACCAGGCAGAAGAAAAGACTAGAAGTTAGTGGTTCAGAATGTCTGACCAAAATCCACTTAACCTTGGAACATAGCTCAGGTTTGGGAGGGATCCAGAGGTCATCTCATCTGGTCTCCTACGTCGTCCTTGCAGGCTTCCCTGACAGGTGCCGGGAACTCACCCCCTTACACGGCAGCCCCTTCTGTCTGAGGCTACCTCTGGCGATTAAGAGACCCACGGAACGGGGCCATTTGAATGCGAGAAACCATGATTTCCCCAGACCAAGCCCCTTACGACCTATCATGGCTAGTGCCCAAGGCTGTATCTCTAGTCCTGAGTAGACGAGGGATTCCTCAAAGGGGGAGGTGATTCCATCACACATATATCGAATGCACATTCTCTCCCTATGTAGATCCCATCCAGCCCAAGCTGGACTGCGTGGGACTCTCCTTGCAGAGCGGGATAGGGCTGCATATCGGGGACTCTGATTTGGTTCTAGGCTCACCCCAGTGGTGCACATGCCCTTCACTCTATGTTCCAGGTGCACTGTCTTCTGGAACTCCCATGCATGGTAAGTGATATGATGTCTCAGCATGTCCTCAGTGCCTTATAGGACAGTGATGGCGAACCTTTTGAGCTCGGCGTGTCAGCATTTTGAAAAACCCTAACTTAACTCTGGTGCCGTGTCACATAGAGAAATTTTTTGATATTTGCAACCATAGTAAAACAAAGACTTATATTTTTGATATTTATTTTATATATTTAAATGCCATTTAACAAAGAAAAATCAACCAAAAAAATGAGTTTGCGTGTCATCTCTGACACACGTGTCTTTGTTTGCCATCACTGTTATAGGAAGTAAGCCCTCAGAATATGTTTATTGAAGATAATCAGATGGTATGGGAGGGCACTTCTGCTCACTTTGCCTGACAACCACCTCGAATGAAACCAGTGCCTTCTTGAACTAAAATCTATTCATTAGCTATATAAGTTATCCTTGAGATTGCCATGAGAGAAAAGAAGGGGGAAATGATTTGAAACAAGACCTGAAAATAATAGAAGGGGAGAGGCAATACACTGTAGTGAGATGCATAATTATCCACCGAAATCCATCCTCAGCTTCTTCTACGGTAGCAGAATTGAGCTGGGATGGCAGGTGACTAAGTAAAGAGATGACGTGCACCACTTTAACGCCAGGTTCTTTGAACCTTACACATATATAAACCCTGACACATGCTTCCCCCTTTTCACCAGCTGGATCTCAAACATGCCAGCAATCTGGCCATAACCATGTACCCCATGACAAGGCCCTAGAGTGACCTTGATTTCTTAGTGACTATGTGGAACAGAACAGCCTGGTGACCTGAAACTCTCTCTTCAGACCATTACATGAGAGAGAACTAGACATTCACATTTTTTAAGCTCCGGAGTTATGACTGGCTTTCTAGTTACAGCAATTGAGTATACTCGAATTAAAACAGAGCATAGGTAGTGAGCTGGTTAAGAGCCTGGGCTTCCGCCCAGCCGGCATGGCTCAGTGGTTGAGCGTGGAGCCATGAACCAGGAGGCCCGGGTTATGGGTTCAATCCCCAATGTGGGGTGTGCAAGAGGCAGCCGATCAATGATTTTCTCTTATCATTGATATTTCTATCTCTCTCTACCTCTCCCTTCCTCTCTAAAATCGATAATAATATATATATTTTAAAAAGAGCCTGGAAGCCCTGATCAGTTTGACTCTAGTGGATAGAGCATTGGCCTGCAGACTGAAGATCCCGGGTTCAATTCCAGTCAAGGGCATGTACTTTGGTTGTGGGCACATCCCCAGTAGGGGGTGTGCAGGAGGCAGCTGATTGATGTTTCTCTCTCATCAATGTTTCTAACTCTCTATCCCTCTCCCTTCCTCTCTGTAAAAAATCAATAAAATATATATTTTTTTAAAAAGAGCCTGAGCTTCAAAGTCAGGTTGACTTGGTGTATACTCTAGCTCCCCACTTAGAGCTGGTGGCCCCGGGATACTCAGAAACACTCCTAAGCCTCCGTTTCCTCATCAGTAAAATGAGAGGGATCAATACAACACTTACGATGACCACTTTGAAAAGCAATCTTTGGGATTGTCCATTAAAGTTGAAGATACTCATAGTCTTAATGCAGCAATTGCAGCAATTTCTTTACAAATTATACACCCTAGAGAATTATGGGTGCGTACACCAGAACTCATGTACAAGAATGTTGGGATGTCCAAAAAGGGAGAAGGCCCCAATACCCATCTATAATGGAAGTATACATTGTGGTATTCCAAACAATGGAATGTACATCAATGAACAGCAATTAATTTCAGACACATAAAACAACATAAATGAATTCCACAAGGACTCATGCTTAAAAAAAAACAACCCTCAAAAGAATATATGTTGTAGTATTCCATTCATATATAGTTAAAATATATATTGTCCTAACCAGTTTGGCTCAGTGGATAGAGTGTCGGCCTGTGGACTGAAGGGTCCCAGGTTCGATTCTGGTCAAGGGCATGTACCTTGGTTGTGGGCACATCCCCAATAGCGGGTGTGCAGGAGGCAGCTGATCGATGTTTCTCTCTCATTGATGTTTCTAACTCTATCCCTCACCCTTCCTCTCTGTGAAAAAAATCAATAAAATATATTTTAAAAAAATATATAATACTAACTTATATCTGGTATAATTTAGGAATCTATACATGGTTAATAAAACTATAAAGAAAAGCAAGGAAATATTTATCACAGATATATGTAATAATATGTAATATATTAATGTTATAGCGACAAGTATGTGTTTTAGACATTTTCTGTACATCAGTTACATTTCACAACTAAGTTTATAAAATCACTTACCTATACAGATCTTGTAATATAGAAACCCACATCTGAAACCTATATGTTCATGTTGAACAATGTCACCTCAATAAATATAATTTAAAAATAAAACAAAATACCACTTATCTGGAAGTGTTGTGTAAGAACTGAATGGGGTCACGCAGGTAAAGCACTGAAGCTCCCTTGCCTGGTATATAGTACATGCTCAATGGAAGTGACTTTTGTAATGTCGAGGGAAAGATTTAGGGCCTTGGAGAAGGCCACATGATAAAATTAAGGAAAGGATCTATTTTTTCCTTTGAAGTACATTGGCTTCCTACGTTTATGCTAGTCCTGTGTGAAAGTGTAAATGTGGAGGAGGGGGGTTGATTTAGGGATAATTGACTCTTTAAACTTAGTATAGAGTTGGAAAACTTCACTTTCCCCCTCGTAGAAGACACAGAGGAGAGGGGAGGGGGACTTTACGGGGCCTGGATGGGGAGGGTAAGAGCATTGAGAAGAAAATTACATCTGTGCAGGCCCCAATGGGAGGTCCAGGCATGAGGCTGCAGCCCGTCCTCAGGATGTCTCCCCCTCACCCTCTGGGCTGTGTCATGTTCCCTGCAGTATGGATGAGGCCTTAGAAGTCAGCACAGGTGACAGTAGGATGGCCCAGGCCCAGCTCAGTGACAGTGAGGGAAGCCATTCTGCTGACTCTGTGCTCTAAGGCACCGTGGACACAGCCAAGATTAAGAGCAGTCACCCAGACAAATGGTGCTGGGACACACTAGGTCGCCAGGAAAACCTGGCCAGAGTTTTCTAGCTAGGAGACGCCAACAGAGGTGTGCGCCTCGGATGCCATGTCTGAGGGTCTCAGAACAGACTGCTGTGCCCAGGTTGACCATGAGCTTCCTAGATGTGCCTCCTTAAGGAAGCCCAGTTTGGGATCCTGGGGAAGCTTCCCTTCCCAACCCGAGTGTGCTATGTCCACACTGGGGGCCGATACACTTCGCCATGGGGGTGCGGGGAGAGGAGGCATGGAGAGAAGGGAAGCTAAACCTTGGACCCGCCATCAGGACTGTGGGTTCTTGGACTAGAGACTCCTTAGGATTTTCCCCTTTGACTCTGACCCCACCTGGTTGATCCAGTTCAGTAATTCCACTCTCCCCATATCTGCTGCGGACATGTAATGTCCAGGTGCCTTTCTAAATGCTGGGGATAGCCTGGCTGGTGTGGCTCAGTGGTTGAGTGTCGGCCCAGGAACCAAAAGGTCACCGATTCGGTTGCTGGTTCGATTCTGGTCAGGGAACATGCCTGGGTTACAGGCTCGATCCCCAGTGGGGGCCGTGCAGGAGGCAACCAATTGATACTTCCTCTCTCACCAATGTTTCTATCTCTCTATCACTTTCCCTTTCTCTCTTTCTAAAAATAAAATATTTTTTAAAATAATAATAAAAAAAATGCTGGGGATATTATGATGAATAAAGAAGATGACCTGGGCCCTGCCCTCAAGGAGGTTACAGTCTCGGGGAGAAGTGCAGGATAAATAATTTCAGTGATGAGGTATGTTACAAAAGGGGAGGCTCAGAAATCTATGGGAGAGGGTCAACAGGAGGTTTAACACAGTTTAATGATGTTTCTCAATACATGGTCCCTGGGCCACTTGCATCAAAGGCATCTGGGCCTCGGACCAGATGTACTGAGTCAAAGGCTCTGATGGTGGGGCCTGGTATTTTTTAAAAATTGAAGTAAAATTTACATAGCATATAATTAGCTATTTAAAAGTGTGCACTTCAATGGCATTTAGGATATTCGCAATGTTGTGCAGTCGTCACTTCTATCTAAAGGGTGTCTCAAAATTCATGCAAGAAGTAATTTTGATAGGAAACACAGGTTTATAATTAAAAATTGTAAATTTTTTATTGATTCATAAAGTATACAGTCTAGGGTTATGTATGGAATAGCATATCGGGTAAATGGCCTCCACGGCTTTGCTGACACATACGTACTCTTTTGTTGAAAATTTCCATGACCGTTTTGCATAAATGTGGCTGAATTTCATTGATCACCAAAACGGGAAATTACATGACCAGGAAATGACTCATGCAGTAATTGAATTGTTTCTTGGGCTGTATGGCATGTGGCACCATCTTCTTGAAACCACATGTCGTCCACATCCATATCTTGCAATTTAGTCACAAAAAAATGGATTATCATGTCGCGATAGCGAGCACCATTCACTGTTATTGCCTGACCGGCCGCATTAAAGGGTGCCGGCATTAGGAAGGTTGAGAAGCGCTGTAACTAGAAAAGAGGATCAGAGTGATTATTTCCATCCAGTGTGACTGGAACCATGACAGAGAGAAGCACAGGCTAGCAGTGGGCCCGGGGGAGAGGACCTGGCCAAGGAGCACAAAAAGA